AGAAAATCACCCGCGTAATAGTTAACATCGTACGGCGTTCCAAAAATGTGTTGTAAATAGTGCTTCACCTGAGCCAAAGCCTTCCTTTCACGTGGTTTCAATTTATGCGACTGAAACGTTTTTGCATTTATTTCAACCAAAAGGGCCAGTGCTTCATCTGTAATAATCTTGATATTTCTCGGAGACGGGTCATAAGACCTATATTTTGCTCGTATTTCAGCTGGAGACACGTTCGGCTTGGTGGAGATTTTATTTGGATGAAGCCGGTAGTAGCTATCTTGTACTTTCTGGAGGAACTTGTCCAACCCTTTGGTAATGGCCTCCTCAGAGTAGGAACATCTCTCTGCTTTGTTAGGAGATATTCTACCCGGGCATGATGCATCACCTTTGCTTAGGAGTACGATTCCAGCAATGAGGAAAGCCAGGCCAGTAATGGCCAGAAATCCTGTCAAAACCAGCAAGTAGACAGTGCGCATGGTCTGGCAGGGCGGAATACCTCTTAACCAAACAGAGTGTCACAGTAAGTGAGTATTCTGATAAGATAACAGAAATCCAGTGTCCAGTGATAAGGAAAATAAAAATCTTCAGAATCCTAATGCATTTATTAACAATAATTTGTTTAGAATGTATTTCTGAATAAGACATACAGGCCTCTACTCATGGGCACCTTCAAAAATAAGCCAGGGTCACCATGAAAAAAAATTGTGTTATGGAAATTTCCTAAACTCATTCCTTTGGGAAATTCCTAAATGTTATGTGTGCATTTCCAGCGAAAGAATCAAGTATAAATCCCAAAAGGACTTTAAATTCAAGCTTATTCACTAGCGAACGGTTATGATTCATTCTAAGCCTGCGATGTGCATTTCAAGAGTTTCGCTTGCTATATTCAAACATGTATTCAACTCTGATTATCAACTATTTTACTCATATCAGCGCATTTGGCTTTCCTTTTTTCCTTTGAATCAAAATTATCATAAAAAGCAGAAGGACAATAACACACTAAAACTGTGATAATTTGGCAGTAAAAACATTTTGTGCAAGAAAACTTTAATCATTCGGAATGATAAGTTATGCAGATTTGCTTCACAGATCATCTGTAAACAATAACCATTTATCTGGAAGCGTCTGCATGGATATCATGTTTTCCTAGTGCGCTTGAACATGTTTACCCATAGAGGACGACACATTGCCAGCTCAGAAAATTTGTTTCTCTATAGCACTATTCTTTCACATCTTAAACTTAAGTTATATCCCATCTCTCTGTCACGTCCAACGCATTTACGGTCCGCTTCCCTAAGAAATTATGCGGTGTTCTGTAATAGTCCGCGAATATAAACAAGTGAACAAAACCCAAAAGTCAGTTGAGAACCTATTCTTCACAACAGTTGAATGAGTTTGTCATGACTGTTTTATTTTCAGTTGTTGATCTGTTCAACATCAAACTTCCTGTTGTCTTTCAAAGTTCAAGTAATGAAGCCGAAAGCTGATAAATTAAAGAAGGAATGAATGTCCAAAGCGAATCGACGATGGCGTGATTGAAAAGTCTCTGTAATGTTATATTCAAATTTCCGGTAATCAGGAGCAATGACCACACGGTAAAACCGGTGTTTGTTTGCAACAAATTCCATGATTTTAAACACTGGCTTAACTAGACATAGAAGTGCTTCAAACAGAAAGTGAGTGAAAATTGCGAAGACAACAACGATCAGCGAAACACTACCCGAATCTTAACTACATTTAGCCCCTCATCCAAGCAACCGTGATCTTCCGCAAATTCTTGCGTAATTATGAAGCCATCCCCCCTTTTCGGCTTCAAATTTAAATTTTTTTTCTCTAAGTGAATAATAAAAAATATAAATGAATAAGAAAAAAACTTACTGACTTTTTCTTTTGTTTAGTGCTATCAGACCGACAATATCATTCCAAAATGGCAAGGGCTAATTTAGCTAAAATAACACTAAGGACAATAGAATAAGAGAGGACACTACCGATAGTGTGCACATCCCTCTCTTATATATGTAAACAACATATATAAAGAGAGTCCTTGTTACAAATATGATTGAAGAATGAACTTTCTACATATAAACCCTTAGAGATGAATCTTTCGACAGCTTTCAGTTGGACTCCGTCGCTTTCATTTAGTGCTAAAAGTCACTTTTGTTTAAATTCTCGATTCGAATAGCCGTGCAAAGTGACGACGATTTTAGCGAACAAATCCAAGACCAAAGTTAAGTATGCTGTAGTTGAAATAATAAAGTATACCTTTTCGATGAGATCTTTCTTGCACCGGAATTACGGGGAGGACAACGAAAGCCAAGCACAGTAAGTCAATGCGTCCGAGACATCGACCGATCGTCGAAGCAGGTGGAGCGTAGAATATTCAATTGCTAATTTGATACTGCACGAGATAAGCAGAACAATAACTTAGTGTCTCAATGACAGTCAACGTTTGTCACACCACATTATGTTAATGTAGCCTTTCAAAGAGGTAGTTTGGAAAATAGGGAATGCCGGAATTCGGAACCGGAACCGGATACTTGGAATACCCGGAATTCCCGGAATGACCGAAAAATAATAAATTTTAAAAAGATAAAAGTAAATAAATTAATAAATAAATATATAAGAATATTGATGATTAAAAATTAGTATTGAATTCACAACTTAATTCAATAATTTAATACGAATTTTTTCTCAAAGGGTCTAAAAAAAAAAAACACTTACCGGCACTGTTCATGGAGATGCACGTATTAGAATTTAAAAAAAGTCTGCGTCAGGCCAGTAGAACTCGCGAGGCGCGAGTAGTCTGGACTCTGGGTCAGATGGCCCAGGTTCAAGTCCTGGCTGGGGCTTGACGTTGTGTCCTTAAGCAAGACGCTTCACTCACATTGCGTAGTCTTCTCGGATAGGACGTAAACCGGAGGTCCCATCTCCTGCGCCTATCAATTAGTTAATTTCGGCAGGGGACGTTAAAGAACCCACATCACGAGATTACTGTGATGTGGTCTGGCCTGTTTACTGCGAATGGGGGGAGGGAGCATCTGTAAAATTTCTCCTTCAAGTTAATTGTAAACTGCCGCCTGGAAAAATCCCCCGCGGAGTGTTGTAAAGCGCATTAGGGCATTTACATGGAAATGCGCTATAGAAATCGATCTATATGTTATTATTATAACTCAAAGAACTCACGGTTGTGGTTTGTTGCCTCTCCTCGCAAACCACCGCGCAATTGACTGGAAACAAGTTTAAAAGACCGTGGAAGATAGCATCCGACTGAGGCGAAACCCCAGATAACTTTTATTGATTTGACGATTAATTTGAAGATGACGAAACTACAAATTCAGGCAGTAAGACGGATGAATCCGATCGGTGAGATTTTTCGTGGACTAGATCGAAGGGGACGACCAAGACCGTGACAAGTGCTAATTTGATACGACATAAGCAGAACAATGATCTGAGTGTCTCAATGACAGTCAACATATGTCACACCACATTATGATATTGTAAGACTTGATGGAACTCACAGTTTTTGTTTGTCGCTTATCGTCACAAACCTCGCGCAAAATGACTGGAAGCAAGTATTTTAATAGACCATGCTCGTGAAAGAAAGCTCCCGAGGCGAAACTCCAGATAACTTTTATAAATTCGACGATTTATTTGACGATGACGAAACTACAAATTGATGCACCAAGATGGATAAAGATTGAATAAAGTAGATTCAATCTAAACACGACAGATCTGCGATTCATTATGGCATTGGGTGACACCTCAGGTGGGCAGTACGAATATCCTTGTGTGACAGTGGAACTGCCACATTGTCCTTACAACGAGCCGTAAACGTACAAACAACAACTCAGTTTATTCGAAGTATCCATAGAAATTCATTTACACGCACTCTTCATTCACACCACTGACTTTCCTTACAAATGGCTGCTTCAGAAGCCGGATGGGCGAAGCGGTAACGTGGTGATATGACGTCATAATTCAGTCGGTAACAAAAACTGTAAGAAAGCGAAAAACCCAATATTACAAAGCAGGCACGGCGCGAATGCGAAAATACTGCAAAAAAAAAAAACAAACAAACAAACAAATCACTCTAAATGAACAGAAAACTCACATCTGTGTCCTTATGCCTTGCAACACCTTATTGAGTCCTTAATCCGTAAAAATAAGAGTCCTTGATACCGTAAACCGTACAGAAACCTTAATTTACCTGTCTTACTAAGAAAAATCTTTGGCAAAAACGTTTGCAAAAAAATAAAAGTGCAACTAGCGTGGTCATCCGGGACCCGGCTCGGTCGAGACCATCGCAATACAAATGTCACGCATGATTCTGCTGCAATACTTTGGTCCGTGTAAGAGGGTCTTATTGAAGGTTAGCTGACGGTTAATTTTTTCCGATTTTGATGACTGACGGTTAAAATTTTGGGACTGACGGTAATCAGGAAGATATTTCTGCGATGAGTTTTAGCTAAAATTAAGATTTTTTTATCATTTGATTTAAATTAGTAGTTTTATTTGAGCTTTATTCATTCTTTCCTTGACGTAGTGGAGTGAGACGTACTTCCATTACCTCATATCAAACTTATCCCATACAAAGCTGAGCATTTGCTTAAATTGGTCCCGAGCCTCCATATTACTCACCTGACCACAGGCAGCCCAAGCTCACTACTCATTTCAATTTAAAATGCAAAGAGCGCCGATGTTTAAAGTGGCGGTCAACAGAGCAAAGCGGGAAAGTAAGATTCCGAAGAGATTCATTGGCGAATTCGCAGAGGTAGTCAAGACCAAGAATTGCAAGGAAATGAAAACTACAGATAGGGATATTTTTCTAGAAGAGATTACGCTGGTTGATGAAGCGAGAAACATGGTTAAAATTTATTCCAAAATTAGATACAATACACAACTTTAATACATTGATATATTTATTGATTACTGGTTGATCAAATAACATCTTGGCTTCCATTTATCATCTATTTTAACACGATATACACAGAAAGTAGAAGCATTAGCTGCATTTTGCATTACATTTTTTGACGGTATGGCCAGAAGTTTAACAGAGTCCACAGTTGTAGCTTACCTTCACCTTTTTCCATCTAGCAGCTCCTAAAAGTTGTATTCTGTGTTTAAAATTTAAAGAAAAGTTGCTTAGTGTAGGAACCTCTCTATGGTTTGATGATCTAAACTAGTCCTTCGATACAGTGTCACTGTACTTCTCCATACCTTGCTGAGTGTGATATGCTAAATTTTCGTAAAGCTTTAAAAATTTCAGGCCCACGACTGATACAAAGAATGCATATAAGGTGTCACATCTTTTGATTGCTAAAGGTCAAGGAATTTTTTAAATCATTTTTTTTTTATATCGTCCTCAAGGCTAGAGATAGGATTATCTGTTGTATAATCTAGTTTAAGACCACCTGTAATATCCATGAAATTACTGAAGGGCTGGGAGCTAATCCGCATCATGACATACTATTGAATAATAGTGAATGGACACTTATGTTTTGATAAAGCAAGAGTTTTTCTGGGCCTAAGATTTCTTTACAACAACTTCTTGGTGTCCTTGTTGATTTTCCATTCAAAACTAATTCCAAGGTCTTTTACACATTTTTCATACCAGCTGCCAATTGTACTTTCTATACCTGTTTTAACAAACCCCATTTGAAAAAGTAAATATCTTGTCAATGGAATCTTTTCTGCAAAGTTCCCTGATAATAATTTCAATTAAACTATCAGATATTCTCAAAAACAAATGTAGTGTATCAATTATTATATGGTCAATAGGAATAAAATTAAATAATTAATTGGTTTTACAATTAGTTTGCTTTGATTTTGCATGCTTGCCCTAAAATTTTTAATTTGTAGTTCCTAGACCATAGACACAGGAACTTCCAATTTCCTCCTAAAAAGTACTTGATATCTACTTATGATTATTTACAGCTATTTCTTTAAAGTTTGAAAGTTCATTATTTAGAACGGCAAGGCTTTCTTTAAGATTGTCATAGTTCTCTGTTGTCCTAATATATAACTGCTGATACATAGTTCCCTTTCTGATTCACTGCTGCATCCTTTTCTTTCAAAATTGTGTGCCTTTTTCCAATGTTTGTACCATCACCAATGATCTTTACTTTAATAGCGGTAACCTTACTAATGATTATTTTTTTTTTTTTTGCAGCCTTTCTATCTGTACCCTAAAGACTCTCCTTGAAAGAAATCTGTATTACCCCTGCCTCCCCTGGTTTACTTTTCATATTCCAATCGGCATTAAGTTTATCTAAGTGTTTGTGTATTGTATGTTTTGTGGGCATGACTTTACTCATGGCCAACTCATGCTAGACTTCATTAGATATATTAAATTTGTCCTATAAGTAAACCCACATATTGACTTTATCAATATCATTGTCAGTCAGTTCTTTTGGCTGACTTTCCATTGCTTGTAATTCTCCCTCCCCTACCGATGAAACAGTTTCCTACTGCTGAGAGTCATTAGTAAATGCTTCAACCTTGGTGGCTATTAAATCGTTAAGGCCTAGAAATGATTTTGCCTTCCACAAATCAAAGAGCTTCCTTTTGCTCTTCCCCCGACTTTTTGACGCTTTCTTGAACGCTGATTGGAGGACTGAAGTCTCAGCGAATCTCATATTTCCAGAAGACTTTTTCCACTATTCCGGCAATCACAGAATCTACACTTTCGTCGTTCGGTTCCTGAACAGGCTTCTACGACAGGACATGATACGAGATAGCTAATTAAAAAAATTAGAAAAAAATTTAAACGGGTTGGAAAAACACCTCGATGAACGCATTTTCACTTACTTGTTATTTCGTAAGTAAACCAAGGCAATTTATTTCCTTTAGAGCCATTTGTTTCTTCGCCAAAATCGCATTGTGCTTCTACCGCCACCGCGAGAATAGTCAGCGAGGACAAATTCACCAATGCGTAAACTTCAAGTCCTATTTCCCGGACCTAAACAATATTAAAACCTCATCAAATTGCGCCAAATTTATTCCCTTTTTCTTATTTTGCGGTAATGACCCGTTTTGTACATGCGCCTTAGAGTTATATCCCCAGACCCCATATGGCCAGTGCTTGCATGTGGCATGACGTTCTCTTCGACATGTCTAACTCAACCACCACAATTCAAAAAATCCCGAACAAAATATGTCAATGATTGCCTTCAAATGCAGTGGTATCAAGAGCTTATATATTTAGCTTTTTCAAACTGAAGGTAAGAAAGATGATGATCGAAAATTAGCCTGTTTTTGACGGACCGGACTGCGTGACATGTCACGAAAATCTGTAGAGGCAGTTGTTAAACGTAAGTTGGTGACTAACAATAATTCACTGATCAGTTCCAAACAATGCCTTACTTCCCACTGTTTACACGGGCAAACCACATTTTCAGAATTTTTTATAGACCTGACTCCTTAAGCTGGAATCTTCGAGGCGGTTTCCAGCAGTTGTTCTATTTGGCGATACTTAACTTGAAGAGATTTAGCACTACCGTATAGTCACGTAAAACGTGAAAGGCAAGAGTGACCACGTGCTAAAACTCGACGAAATGGCCTCAAATCGCCATCAGAAAACACAAATATCACAAATAACGTTATCTGAAGGTTAGAGTTTATTTGTTTCATCTTTTAAGGAGTTGCAGAGCGAAGACTAAACTCCCATACAAAGCGTTTTGATTTTATCTTCTCATGGAGAGCTTGGAATTATTCTCTCATGAAGAGAGTGGGGTCCCTGTGTTCCATGAAGCAGCACATGTAGAGTAATTGCATAGAGAAGATGCTCTTTCATGTCTTAATAACCCATTTCCGAATTACCCTTGGTCTCTTTTTCAAAACGAGGCCTGGTGCTCAACCAAATATTCTTGTGAAAATGAGTTTAACAACAAACATATGAAATACATATATATGAACTGCGGTTATGAAACGTATATGTGCACGATCCTTCGCAGTAAAGCACTATTTAAGCAATAGTGAAAATCAGACCTGAAAAAAATTCAGGCNAATCAGTTAAAATTAAATCTCAGGCTTGTAGCTGACTAAGATCTCGCCGGTATAAATCATATCGAATGGTAAATTATGCGTTGGTATTTTAGAGGTGAGGTTTGTTGACAGGGCTTCACTCTCTTAACACAATACTACGTACTTTCGCCCGTGAACCCAGGATTCATTCCAGCTTTAGAGAAAGGAACTTTTGAGTTTCCGTTGTGAATAAAAAATCAAGCATGCGGTTTTAAAAGTAAATATCATTACATAAATTGACAGTGCTTTGCTTAGGAATTTGCTCGGCGTGAATCGTGGATTGAAGGAAAAGGAAGTCGATTGTGAAACAGAGCAATATAAGTCAGTAACGGTGCGACAACACTAACCCCTTCAGTTTTTTTTTTTTTTTTTGAGACCACCCATGCCCCGTTTTGCCTCTTTTCCACTTGCCCCCTCAATTAATCGACAAATACCTGATTTCAAGTTCACTAATCAATCAACTTAAATGAATTGATCTTATGATTAATGTTGAGGAACACAATTAAGACGTAGCTACATGATTTACTCGTCACAAAATAAAGCAGTTGGAGGTCTTGGATGTCTAAGTTAATTTAGCAACTTATCACTAAGTTTTCTTCTCTTCATAACCTTGTTTCTCGCTAATTATGCTCCAGCGCTTTCAAAACATGCCGTCACTATGTTGAAATAAGAAATTTCTTCGGGTTAAGCAAACAGATAAGCGCTCTTTAACATACTCTCTGGTCCACTCATCTAAAATATTCAAGAAAGAGTGCTGTTCGTTTGTTCAAGACATCACATTTCGATGAACTGAAAATGAATTCCAACTTGCCTTAAAGCTAGGTCGCTCACCTAAGCCACTGTGGAATCTCGGACATTGGACGCGAAAAAGTACTAAGAAGGTCGCGATCAACGAGGGTCCATTTTCATCAAGTTGTTTTAAACAAAATTTCGAGTTCTTCAGTGATGAAATCGCCGCATAAAATATTTATCTTACTGCTCATTTTATTTCCTAATCTGGTTGCATCAGTGCCCAATCATGGTTCAAGGACATTTATCGGTTATTCGTATTGGACGCTAAGGTATCCCTCTCTAGGATACACTTCTGGTTGGGAAGGCTTTTGGAATAATTTTAACGATGGGAGAAGAGAGTACCAACGAAAAAAATCAGAAACCTCTGGTGCAGGAGAGTGTCCTCATTGTCACTGCGACGAAGTTACAGAAGAGCTTGTTTGTCCAGAGTCGCTGACAAAACTGTGAGTCGACCATTCTGTCATCTTCTTTGACACAGTTGTATTCCTTTTTCATTCCTATGACACAGAGCTCCGGCGCTTAGTAATCGTCAATACTTCTGTGTCTAAGAAACGCACGAATTTGGTAAGATTTCATTTCAAAATGCATAGAAAGTGTTGGAGAAATTAATTATTCGCAAAAATATTTATAAATGGAAGTTTAACGCAAGCTACACTCATTTTGCCATAACGTTACGATGAAATACGTTGTTTCTGCAATGAAAATCCCCGCTTATTTTTCTAGAGGTCAGTCTCTACGTAATATTTTCGCTGAATATTAGGGCTGAAATCTACAACATTACTAAACCTTTGCATGAATTTCCATTAAACACTAACCATCCAGTTGATATCAGTTAATGCATGCGTCCGTTACCGTACCAGCAAAAGGCTTTAAAACTTGATTTTAAATAAAGGTTTCATAATTACTAATAATTATGGATTACTTTCGCCCTACTTTGTAACTATGCGTGTTAAAAAGATGATCCTTTAATTCATAGCTTACATTAACCTTTTTTGAATTTCTATTTTGTTACAGGACTGTACGAAACAAAGCCATAAAAATTGTTAGGAATGGTCAATTGCCAAAGAACTTAAAGGAAATGTAAGAAGTAGTTATCGTTGTTCGAGTTATAGTTAAGTCAGCTTCATTAATTTACTTTACATTATGGTTCCCTGGGTCAGCGAAACGCGGCTGATTAATACACTGATATCTTAGATATTAAGTATGTAAGACTGCCAGCATATAAATCCAGGAGGCATGCTTAGATTATGGAATATAGATGTCACATGGCGAATTTTCAATGAGCAGACGATGATTAAAAAGTCATGGCTCTTGCCGGGTCGTCAATGCATCCACAAAAATATATGCTAAAATACCAGGTGAATGAGTCAGTAGCAATTTTCCAACTTGATGTCTCAGAAAACTTGTCATTTCCTTTTTCTGCAGCAAAATTTTCAATTCTCAACTTAAAGACATCGAAGAAGAAGCATTTCACAACTTGACCGAACTTCAAAAATTGTAAGTGTTTGTCAAAGTCATGAGAAGTAAGAGAAAGCACTATAGTACAGACTGCGGAAAATGACAATTTCATTCATGTGTTTTCCATTGTATGTTTATATAATAGAAATATGGCTATGAATAACCTCGACGACTTTCCGGACTTGTCCACCAACATAGCCTTGCAGGAACTGTAAGTGTAACTTAGTTGAACTGTAGGGTGACGGTGTGAGGCTCGTGTACTTTTCCAGTCGTTAAATTCATCTTCTTATTCATTTCTTGGTTGATTCGTGTAATTTCATTAATTGATTTTATCCTCTCAACGATTTCTCTATTCATCTACTCACTACCTTCACCGACCTATTGATAAGTTAGCTATTTTTAAGTGTGTGTATTGTTTCGCTAATATCAATTGGATATGAACTAATAACATTACATTGTATTCAGACATTAATATTTCTAATTAATTTTTAATGAATTATAATTCAGAGATTTATATCAGAACAAGATAAGGCTCTGGCGCCACAATTACACTTCTTTGCCCAAGGATATAGAGAAGATGTAAGTTTGCATATTTTCTTGGCTTTGAAAAGACATCTAACGTACCTTTTGAACACTACATGATTCCACTTCTTCACTCGTTTATTTTGCAGAATTCTCATTGACAACGAGCTGGATTGGATACCTGAAAAGTGGTTTGATCTGCCAAATTTGAAATACATGTGAGAGAGCTGAGTTATTTCCTCTGTTAGCATGAATCTCCATTATTCCTATTGTCCTTTGTGCCGTTTTTTTTTTTTTTTTTCAATCTTAATGTACAAGTAAAGAAGTCCTCCTTTAACAAGATAATGACCATTTCTAAATTGCTGCCCCCTGTTTCTAATACTATTCTGTTCAGATATTTTCCTTGTCATTATGAGTTGGAGTGCGTTGATAATGGCTCGCAATTGATTTTGTGTTTGCTCTCATAATTTTGCTCTAGAGCTCTGAGTATGAACAAGTTAAAACGCTTTCCAGGAGCTGCATTTATCAACTGCAGATCTTTGGAATACCTGTGAGTAAGATTTCTAAAACATAATATCTCGATTGAGTGGTTTTTCACCGCTTTGACAACGATCTATCACCAGTATATCTTTTTTTGTGTGTTTGCTTGTCACTTTGATTATTTGTTTGCTTTGAATTCCTAGTGACAAAAGTAAACTTAGGCTTTTTACCCGCTTAAGTTTACGTGTGCAGAATAAAAAAAAAAGGACGTTAAATTTGATCTAAATTGAGGCTCCAACAAACCAAAAAAGTAAAGGCAGCAGATCATTTTTCCTTACTTATGCTTTCTGACTGGCAAAAGTTATGCTGTAATCATTTTCTTTTCATTTCATCATTATTTTAATTTTTTTTTTTCTTTTAGATCCGTTGACTACAACGAAATAACATCAATTACGTATCCCAACTTGCGACCCTTTTTTGGAAATGATTCGCAGCTTCTACATTTGTGAGTAATCTACTGCAAATACATTTCAGCTTGTTTCCATTTATTCATCTGTCTGTTAATGTATATTTCTATGTATTTATCTATCTATCCATCCATCTTCCTATCTGACTCTCTCCAGATTCATAGCTGAGTATCTGCTACCTTCTCTCCTCTTCTATTTTTGATATAAAAATTTCCAATATTTTCCCGTTTTTACAATGGAATATATCAGTCTATTTTTCACTTATAATACTTCTATTCAAAGTTACCGACCAATACGAAATCTTTAGTCAGTATATCAATCTAAACATGACCAACGTAGCAAATAATCAATCTTTGATACAGCATCGAAAAAATCACGAAAATAAAAAAATTTGACGGACTTTAAAGGTCTTCAAGTTCTTTTTTATTGCCGTAAAACCCCTCTGGGATCTGTAATATTTTACTTTCCACACCATCTTAATTTTCGAACAAAACTGCGTTCCCACATATAGTATCAACTCGACTTAACAAGTCAAAATTTTTTGAGAAGGTCAATTATCTTTTTTCTTTATAAAATCCTTATATTTTACTTTAAACTCGTTTTTTCGGTAGGAAAGTTCTGCGTTTGTGAAAGAAAACATTTTAAACCTGTTATTTTAATCATATGTCACAATTAAACGATTTTATTGCACAAAAGCCACTCCATAGCAAATACTCATTTAACGTAGCAAGTACCCACTTTATGTAGCAAATATCCATTTCTACTTATTTTGCTCCAGAGAAACATTATCTTTGGTAAAAGATTAAGTTTTAAGGAACTATTTGGGTATTGCTTAAGGACAATCTATCCTTCTGTATTTTCCAATTTAAAATATAACACGCTTTACAGACAAAAAAAGCGTACACGCGCATTTTTGTAAGAAATAGTTTCATTTCCAAATGGCTGAAATATTAAGGAATTAAAAGTGTTGTGGAAAGGATTTTGTTATGTTTATGTAAGTTAAATCATGATAGCATCTTAATCTTATAAACGCTGCACTTTTACATAGGTAGTTTGAACGACTATGAGCGCTTATTGAGGTGTGAAAAATTTCCTTCAAGTGTTACTTTAGATAGCATAACATGCATCCGCAATCAATCCTTATTCAAATCTGAAAGGGACAAAAATTTTTCGAGTGTTCCCCTTGTTCTGCTTTTACTGCATTTGTAACTCTGTTGGAATGTGAACCTTATTCTTTTTTCTAGTATAGGCCTAATGTTAACTTATATGAACTAATTGAGTTTTAAATCGCGCAAAGCTTTGTTACAATGTAATCTTAGTTTTGATTCATGTTTAAACTTAGCCCGTACGACTCTATTCATACAAGTTTAGTTGCATTTCTGTAAAAGCCTTGTTCTGTTTTATATGCGTGAAAATAGCTCACATTGTGATTTTAGCTTATTTCCAGTCTATGTGTGATATAGCTTTAGATGGACTCATACCTCAGTCACAATGTGAGCTTGGTATTCTGA